TACATCAGGCTCGTTGCAGACAGCGCTGAAATGTGTTTGTAACCTTGCCAGATGGATGGGCAGCCCCTGCACTGCAGGGGCTCTCAAAAGCAGATTCAAAGTCATGCATACCGGGGGGTAAGGAGGGGGGATGGAGAGGCAGGATGTTGAATTTCCATATATTTCCATCAGGTTACTGTCATTTCTGCCTAGCATGTCACTAGACACATATTACAAGGCTTTCTTGTGCTAGTTCTGCCTATTAAGTGTGCCCTGACTGAGATGCTTCATTTCCCCCCCAGAACAAACACAGACAAGAAAGACCGTGGGAGCTGTGGGTAGCTGGTGAGAGGCATCCTCTTGTCACGCTTTGCTTGCTTGTGCTCATTGCTGTTTGATGCCATGCCAAACAATGAAGTAACTATGAACAGGGATATCCCAGAGACCGTTCAATTGCGCTGAGGCTTTGATTCAACATCATCTAGGCACCAAGCCACGTGATGTGAAAGCACAGATGCTTGTTGTGCTGGTGTCAGCAAGGGCAAGGCTTTTCATAGCATCATAGAATCATTTGAGTTGGAAGGGACCCTAAAGGGTCATCTAGTCCAACTCCCTTGCAATGAACAAGGACACCTACAGCTACATCAGTATGCTCAGAGCACCAGACCTTGAATGTCTTCAGGGATGGGGCATTCGCCTCCTCTCTGGGCAGCCAGCTCCAGTGCCTCACCACCCTTATTGTAAAACACTTTTTCTTTACATCCAATCTATATTTCCCCTCTTTCAGTTTGGAAACCAGTTCCCCTTTTCTTATCACAGCAGACTCTGCAAAGGAGTTTGTACTTTTCTTTCTTACAGACCCCCTTTAGATACTGAAGGACCACTGTCATATCTCCCTGGAGCCTTTTCTTCTTCAGGCTGAACAGCCCCAGCTCTCAGTCTGTCCTCAGAGGAGAGATGTTCCATCCCTTGGATATTTTTGTGGCCTTCCTCTGGATGTGCTCTAACAGGTCTACACCTCTCCTGTACTGAGGACTCCATACCTGGGCACAGTACTCCAGATGAGGCCTCAACAGCATAGCAGCAGAGGGGCAGAGTCACCTCCCTCTCCCTACTGGCCATGCTTCTTTTGATGTAGCCCAGGATACAGTTCGTTTTCTGGGCTGCAAGGCACACTGCTGGCTCATGTCCATCTTGCCATCCACCAGTACTCCCAAGTCCTTTCTGGCAGAGCTGTTCTTCATCTTTTTGTCCCTCAGCTTGTACTGACAGCAGGGATTGCCACGACACAGGTGCAGGACCTTGTACTTGGGTTTGTTGAACTTTGGTTTGTTGTATTTGACGTTGGCATTCACCTGGGTCCACTGTTCAAAAGCCTGTCTAGGTCTCTCTGGAGGGGTTTAAAAGGACTGTGGCAAATTTTAAATACCCAAAAATAGATAATATTATGTCACGCCTGTATAACATCCACTGCAAAGTGAAGTCCTAGTCCAATTCCCTTAATTTAGCTATTTGCAGAATTTAAACAACATTTTAGGTAATTTTTCCTGTGTTTTTGCTCCTGCATGTGATGAGCATTTCTGAGTGCGAGTTTTTAGTTGAGCTGAAGTCAGCCACTTCATAATTGCAGAGGGGAATAAATCATTTCTTTCCTCCCTTTTTGTCTACCTTCCTGCTCCTAACACCACTCCTCACTCCCGCAGCTGAAGGCCATAAAGCTTCAACCTAGCTGCAGAATCCTCAAAAATTAAGCAAACAAGCCCACAGACAACATGTCCGGTGGCTTTGTGTGGGTCAGTTAGATCTGCAGCCCATTTTGCCACTCTGAGCCACTGCTCAGCCTTCAGCGTGTTCTGGCAGCAGCAAGTTGTTTAGCTATTCAACTACTGCAAAGCGCTTAAAATAGCACTTAGCCCTGGAAACAAAGGCAGTGGCTGCTGGTGAGCAAGAGCAGGAGAATTTGTCCTGAAGGATCAGGGTGAACCCCATTTTGCTCTTACATGCAGTGCATTCCCATTTCTTTTCCGAAGACATTTTTTCTCTCCTTGTCATCCTGTAAAACAAGGACTATCAGGCCCTTTAAATGTCTTCAGATGCTGCTGAGACTTTTGTTGCTGAACCTTAAAGCTGTTGTTTAATCACTTCACTCACAGTCAGATGCAACCTTTTGCTTAGAGAAACCTCAGTTTGGTATGCGCTTTCAGTCAAGATCAAGCTGTTTTCTGGCAAAAAGTTCTTTTCAAACCTGCAGTCACGTCTTGTTTGAACTCCAGCTGGGCTCCTTTCTGAGAGCAGTACATCCTGGTTTACAGCACAGTGTCTCTTTCTGCAGCTGTTGTTTTATTGTCAACATTTGAAGCTGACTCTGAGCCTCTGCCATCTTGTGCCCACACCGCCTCCTGGTAGGAGGTGCCAGGAAACAAGGGCCTCCACCATGCTGTGCCCAGCCTGGCGTAATGTAGGAGTACATGACGAGGGGGTGTGCTAGGGAGAACACTCCAGCCATATGAGCAGAGCTCTATCCAGCAGTCGCATAACATTGTGACTGATGGGTGGCTGGCTCACCCAAATAGCTGGTGAACACTTGACAGTCTACTAAGATAAGTAAGTCATTGTCTAACATTGCTTCCTACCACATTAAATTATTCATTGGCCTCATGCCAGCAGTAAGTAATGATAACAGTTCAGGGAATTACAATTTTTTGAGATTTTTTTCAACTTGGCAGCTAAATCTTTTATGATTTTGCATGTTGAATTATCAGTTCAGGATATCTTGTAATTTATTATCACAAATGTGATGAGTAATCCTCTTCTTAAAATTAGAAAATTCATCCAAAATATTTGCCTGGGAAAGGTTAAGAATCTTTCAGGGATCATTTAATACTCTTTCTTTCCCCCTTTTTTCTTAGCTTCTAAATAATTAAACTTCTCCCTACTCCAGTGTGTATCAAGTGTAGCAGTAAGCAGTCATATTAACTCTTAGAAGAAATGCTGTCTAGGAGATTACTGTTTTTAGAACTAGCATGGCTTGTGCGTGAAAATCTTGATGTTCATAATAAGTAAAAGTACATGTGATAGTTTAAGTACATCCCAGATATAAATACAACAGAACAGCAAATGGTCTTATGCCTTTGGGGCTGTTTTCACCGAGTACAGAGGGTCTGCTGAAAACTATTTAGTCAATTATATACTATTGTCCTGCTTGGCTGTGTGCATAAGGAGGAATAAAACAGACTATACCAACCAGTTAGGTACCAATGCAGTAACAGGATGTGTAAGATGACTGCTAACAGTAGCTAATTTCAGAGCTCACAGATAGCATGATCTGTTTATTTGCTTATGGCTGCTATCCAGCCGTAAGGGTGTGACTGGATGGAAAAGGATGTGATAGAAAAAAATCTACCACATTTAAACCAGTACTAGCCAAACAAAAGGGATCTAGTGGAGAGGCCCATGGCTGGGTTGGATGCACAGAGGAATGCTACCAGCACCCCACTACAATCACCACCCAGCACTTGGGCTGCTCTGCTCTACCAGGGAATATCAGTGGAGGGAGCAACACCTCCTTCCATATACCAGCAAATCTAGGCCTTAGGAGAGGATATTTCCTCCCAGATTTCACTGAATTCTGCTCAGAAATATTCATGGAACCTACCAATTTGTCCATTGTGTAAAGATTTAAAGCTCACATTTATTTACATTGTCACTGGAGAGGAAAACTGAATGGAGTTCAGAGTCCCAAGGTTGAATGATCTTAACTCCTACTGAAGCCACTAGGACTTAGGCACTTAGTTTCCTTTGTGGTGATGAACCAAAGTACTTCCTGCATCTTCAACATAAAAATGAATTCCAAAACAAGAACAGGGCTGGAGAGCTTAATTTCTAAAAACAGCAGTGTACTCCATTGAAAATCGGGTGTTACATTTCATTTGGTGGCTGCTCCACAAATAATCTCAGCAGCTGTTGCAGCATCTTGGTTGGGATTCCTCTCACCTAACTTAGTCATCCCAAGTTAGGTGTCCAGTCTAAATTTGATCCTTTAACTCCCTCAAAGCCAGGCAGCTCCACCAGATGGCTATTCAGACCTCCAAAAATTTAGTGAGGGAACTGCTGTGGCTCTGTTGTTGAATTCATATTAAACAATCAACTGTTTTATAAGGCCTTGCTCTGAGAAAACAGCCTTTAAAGCATTTAAGAATCACTGCACTCTGTTAAGTGGAACATGAGACACAGCAGAACTTCAGTGTAAAATAAAACTATAGCGTTTACTCTTACAGATTTCAACCGCTCCTGTAAATCACCAGCTGTAAAATAGCAAGAAAACAGCCACAGATGTCTCCTCAGAGCAGGACATACAGCTCCTCAGAGCTCCCAGGGACCACAGAAAATAAATGAATAGCTTTGGCTTTGTTTGCATCTCCAAGAGGTGACAAGGAAGGATGTTTTTATTTCAGCGTTGTTACTTTTGAATTGAGGTTGACAACTTGAATTAAGCTATCAACCTAGTCAAAGCTGCAGCCTTTAGTATTACAGTAAAAAACTCTTCCCCAGACATAAAGGAAGAAAAGACAGAGGGAGGGGATTGCTCTCCGGAGCTCACAGTGCGGTAGAAGCATCTCTGGGGCAGCCATTAGAGATAACGCAGCTTCCAGTCAGGCTTTAAGGAAATACAGATGCTTCCCAGCAGAACTCTGCTGCAGACATGAGTGATATGGCTTAGTCGCGTTAGCAAACGCTACTTAAAAGTGGCTTGTTCCTCCAGGTAAAGCATAGACATTCCCCAAAAGCAGGTTCTTTCAACTCCAGGTAGAAAAGCAATGAGTGTTATCTAGAACAGGCAGAGCTAGATGCTACTCAGAAGTTTCTCAGAAGCAATGAAAAAAAAAAATGGGAACAAGACAAGCACCAAGACTTTTGGTAGAGAACTGAACTAATAATCTGGTGTACCGACCTGTTATTTTCTAAAAGAGCTTCTTTTGCTTTAATTCCCTATGTGTGGGGTAAGGCCCACTTCTGCTCATTCAGACCACCTGAAGGATGTAATTGAATTTCCCAGCATGTGGTAGCCAAAGTTGTAATTACTTTCAGGACCTATGAGCACTGGAGCCTCCATCTGTGGTGAGAGGCTGCTCACCAGCTGTGGCTAATGATGAGGAGCCTCTGTAAGGGCCTTTTGGATGTGCTGCCCAGAATGAAGTTGGTCCTGCTTGTTGTTCCTTGTAGTCTTCAGATGGCTGATGGTGTTGTGGAGCTGTATCTGCTGTAGGTGCTGAGAAGGATAGAAGCAGTTTTTGTGGACTGAGCTTTGTAGGTCTCTGCTAAAAATTACTGGTGAGTATTGATTTCTACCTTTAACACTCTCTTGTAGTAGTTTAGCTATAATCATCAGAACAGAAGATAGTGAGAACTGACTGCAGAAAGTCTTTGTGTCCTTTTTCATTATATCCTAGCCTCTCTTTAGCTGTCTGATTGAAAGGGTCCTTTGAAAAATATTACTTTCTGAAGGGATAATTATACCTTCAAATGTTGAAATTCTTTTGCTCTGATGTTTGAAGTTGGCAGTAAAGTTAAACGTGAGAGTCGTCTTTCCTAGTTGGGCTTTTCTTTGCTGTGCTGAGGTCTGGGCCCCTAGCCCCTTTGCTCGGAGGGACTGGTCCTAGTTATGCTGAAATAGGTCTGTAGCAAGAGCTGTTCTTGGTCTGGCCTGGGGTGACTTCTCCTTTCTCCTCTGAAAAGAGAAGTGCTCCTTTTGAACTATTTTAATCACAGCTCTTCTGTTTTATGTGAGAAGCCTGTGTCCCTATGGGATGTGGTATTTCCCTTTCCTTGAGCCTTGCTTCTTGGGATGGTCTCTCTGTCTAGTTCTGCTTCTAGAAACCAGCTTTGTCCCTGGAGGCAAGGAGGGGTCTCAATATTTTTCTGACAAAGAAAATGTCCCCTTGCTCCCAGAGGGGCACCCATATAAACCATGTGTGCCCCTAGTCACTGACCCAGTAGCCACAGGGCTGGGTGGCAGAGGGATGTTTCCAGAAAGGCTTTAATTTGGGGAAGAGGAGGAAAGGTGCTGTCAGCATGCGATCGCGGCTCCACTGAGCACATCTCTGCTCTCTGCTATGGCTTTGCTGATAATTGAATTGAAATCAAAACATAACTGCATCGCTCTCACGCTCTGGTTGCTAAATAGCAGTATTGTGAATGAATCAGAGTTACTTCAGAGAATCACTTTAATGTAGCAGAATTGCAGCAATCAGGGGATAAAGTTAAATTTAGGAGTATCTGGTAAAGGAGTTGATTGGCATTCAGAGGGAAGCTGCTTTTGTTCAGCCTTTCTGTGAGCAAGGTTATGGTCCAGGGGAATTAGCAGTGCTTGAGGGTTAACGCCTCATTCCTGCTCTGCTCCTGATTATTGCCTCGTGGCTTTGTGTGGATGGTTTTTCTTCCTGTCATTTTTTTTCCCACGGCTAAGAGTTTTTGCTTCCTCAACTCTTAGTGCTCTGTAAGGCTGTTCATTTCCCTGTAGGAAGAGCTATATGGGCAATAAAGTGCTTCTCCGATCATCCCTTCCCCCCCCACTCCAATCCCATGCTGACCCACCAAGATGAACGGCAGGGATTGGAATTGCTCAGTATCAGATACTGCGTGTCGATGGTTGGAAGGACCTCGTGAGACTCCACACAATTAATCTCTAGAGATAACCTTATGTCTTGCTTTCTACAATGATGAATGATGCCATAGCGCAGTATTGCTTCTATTCAGCACTCCTTCATGTAGATCTCATGTGCATCCTGCTGTCATTCCCATAGCGCATCTTTGCCATCTGCTGCAGCCTTTAATGAGACCATACTCTTCGAGCCTTGCACAAAAGGATTAATCTAGTGAGAGTGAGGGACTATAGAAAAAAGATAGAGGAGTCTTAGAAATCAAAGCAACCCAAGAGAATACTGTTAATAGTTAGCATGCTGCAGAGAGCTGACAGAGGAGATGTGCTACAGACATGGTAAGCTGAGGTAAGCAGGAAAGGGTGCTGGTTCTCTCCACTCACAGCAACGATGACGGGCAACAGCTGAGTGTTTAGCAAGGAAGCCTGTGTCTCAAGGGACTTATGTCTGGCCAAATCTGACTTCCTGGTTTTAAACTGCCACAGCCATGTATATGGTGAAAGGAAGGCTGACTACAGGGGTATGTTTCACTATAAATTTGTGTGTCAAAGACTTCTTTTAATTCATTTAAATCAATGGATTTATTTTTTTTTTTCCCAGCTTGAAATTGACACAAAGTGTTCCCATGCACTGTAAACTGGCAAAAAGAAAATAGTTTCATGTGAGAATCTAATCAGGTTTAACAAGGGCCAGTGCAAGGTGCTTGGTTCAAGGCAATCCCACATATGAGTACAGGCTGGGAGAACATGGGAGCAGCCCTGCAGAGAATGGCTTGGGGGTCATGATGGACAAAAAGCTGGACAGGAATCAGCAGTGTGCTCTTGCAACCTGGAAAACCAACAGTATCTTGAGTTGCATCAAATGTGGGGAGGCCAGCAGGGAGGAGATAATTGTCCCCCTCTACTCTGTCCCTGTGAGGCCCCACCTGGATTACTGCTTCCAAGCCTGGAGCCTGCAGCACAGGAAAGATGCAGAACTCTTGGAATGGGTCCAGAGGAGGTACCTGGAGATGTTCAATGGGCTGGAGCACCTCTCCTATGAAGAAAGGTTGAGGAAGTTGGGCTTGTTTAGCTTGGAGAAGAGAAGGATCTGGGAAGACCTCACTGTGGCCTTCCAGTACTTGAAGGGAGCTAACAAGCAGGAAGGAGACCAACTTTTTATAGCCTCAGTAGTGACAGGACAAGGAGAAATGGCTTTAAACTAAAAGAGAGGTCACTTAGGTTGGATGTTAGGAAGAAATTCTTTATTCAGAGGGTGGTGATGTGCTGACACAGACTGTGCTGTGGGTGCTTCGTTCCTGGAGGTGATCAAGGCCAGGTTGGATGGGAACCTGGGCAGCCTGATCTGGTGGGTGGCAGCCCTGCCCATGGCAGGGAGGTTGGGACTAGATGATCTTTAAGGTCCTCTCCAACCTAAGCCATTCTATGATTTTAAATTAAGGCTCAGTTATGCTATCTCAGACACTCACATTTTACCAAGCTCTAGTAAGCAGCCTTGTGAATGGTTTATAAAAATCCAATCAGTTTTTTCAACCTTTTCCTTGTTGACAGGAAAAACAACACTCAAATTGCCTGTGTGGAAATGTTTTTTCTCTGTTGAGCATATGCAAATTAGAGTTTTACAACTTTTATCAAGAATTATTCTAGCTTTACCTGGAACTGTCTTTAAGTACTTTAGAATTTGGGGGAGAGGGGAGGAAAGAAAACAGCCTGTAGCTGGATATTCTCTACAAAAATCACACCCTGTTGTTTGGTTTGTTGTTGTTTCTTCTGAGTGGACATATTAGGTATTGGGGATGATCTGATTTATACACTCATTGATGAGCATACAGAACTAGTCTGTGGTCTCTTTTCTGACGCAGTCTTAGTTGGATCTACTGAAGTTCTGGATCACTAAAGTGAAAGAATGTTTCCATGTGTGCACATGTAGGTGTATTTCAGTTCTGTGGAAGGTGGGATAGCCTGTAGTCTGAGTTCTTACTGTGATATGTTGGCACTAATCTAACTCAATCTAGATCAGAACAAATGAATCTATTGTTTCTGATCTATAGGTTAAACCTATTGCCTCTTCTAATTATCTGCATGACAACTTGTGTAAAAGGCCTTTATGCTCCACAGGCTGGCTAAAGGCATTGAAAATAGATTTTATTTTCTTTCTTGAACTGAGAACTTCAATTTCCTTTTGGGATGGGGCTATCAGTAATAAGGCATTCTTCTGCTGCCCACAGATGTTAACCTGTCTGTATGTAGCCATATATGATTTGAGGTATGCATTATTGACCGTATTCCTTGAAGAATGCTGCTGAGGATTAAGGCAAAGATGGCAGTTACTCTAATGCTGTCTGGGACCACTTGGTGAAGTGATATACCTAGCACTCTTTGTGTAAGTGAAGGAAAAAAAATGTGTACAGGGAAGTAAAATTTTACCAGACCAGGTTTCCTGTGCAGAACTACAAAGTAATATGACAATGAATTCCAGCACTCTTTGAGGTCAGCAGTTTCAGAAGTCTTTCCAAAAGTCTTTGGTTATGGTAGCTGTACACCTTTTTGTGTGCTGTTTCAAAAGTTTCTGCTTATCAACACAACTGTTTCCCTGTGTAAAGCTGCCAGACTGGTTTCATTCTGCCTGTTGAGCTCACTTATTTCATCTTAAATCAGATGTTTCTGGGAAAAGCTCTGAATTTGTGTGGTGTATGTAACTCCCTCTCAAGTTTCATAAGCAAGATGAATACATTTGGACTGAAAAATAGAAGGAATAACAGACTGGGGTGCTCTCTTACCTGTCAACAATGTTATTTCCTCATGAGAGGTAACTTATTTTATGTAAGTCTGATGATCTCTCTTGTTGCCTGGGACGTGGTTTTCAAGTAATCAGTAATAATCTTGTCAACACTACAGAAGACTTTTAAGTTTGTTTTTGCAGTTTCTATAACCTCTCCCAGGGGAAAGTTGAGTACTCTTAAGAGACAGCCAGAGCTACTCTGTGACTGCCTATGTTCTAGATCCATAGCATGTGTCAGGGCTCCAGGCAGGCTGATATCCTGTGCAGTATTTCATGTTGACCAGAAAATCGTCATTGAACAGATAGGGGGACACAGTTTGTGAGTTACTCAAGTTGACTTGAGGCTCTCTAGAGCAGAGTGTCTACACAGTTGCATGAAGGAGTCAGAATATATTCAAGCTTCTCTTCTTTGATTTGAAAATAGTCAGTGATGACAAAGCTTTGGTCCTGGAGCTTTGAGATTTTCGTGTAAGACTTCATCAGAAAGTGAGAAGGAGAAGACCTCAAGCTTTTCAAAGGGACGCTGATTAGATAGACATAAGATGATACTATTTATCAGTAGCTCTTCATTTTATGGTGGTGAGGATCCTATGCTTGTGGAAGTAGAATAGTGTATGGAAAAAGGGTAACGTCTGCCTGTGAAGGTTCAGATTGAGGGAAGTACACTGAAGGATGGAAGATTATTAGGTCCCTGAGTGTAAGAAAGACAGAAAACTCAAGATATCCTGGATCTTTGTGGAAATCACAGTACTACTGTAGCAGTCACTTTCTTGAATCTAACCTAGAATTTCAGTTGGGAGGAAGAGGGAGAGAGGACAAATAACAACCCTGTGAATACAAAGTATGTAGAAAGACTGCCTGATTTGTGAAGATCACAAATTTGAATCTGAA